CTATTTTATCTTCTCAAATCAGATTTCGGTAAGTCGAATGATGTTTCGATTTCACGCATATTAACGGCATGCTCTTGATGAATATAATATGCACATTATCAGTGTAATATCTCCTACAACACCTCGATCATGTTTTCGGATCACTCCTCCAACTCCACTCTAATCCACTCCTCCCCACCCTATCCTTTCACGCTGGCGTTCACTTTGAAACAACCGACTAGTGGTCTATAGTCTATCATTTCATCCCTTTGTTTGGTTTAGATAAAAATCAAATTTTTAGTAAATATAATAAAAGTTAATGGAATGTTTAATTGAAAAGTTTTGAATTTCATAAAATGTGCGGTTATAATTAATTGTTGATTTCGACTCAGATCTTAATCCAAAGTTTAAGCTGAACGAAACATGGGCGTAATTGCTTTAATTGTTCTTATTTTATTTAGTAAGCTGAGGGCATTTTGCTATTTTCAATTGTTCGAGGGTTTATTTTGCAATTCCAGTAAAATTAGAGTTTAGGTTGTAGGTTTCTTTCATATCACTACAATATATAAGAGGAGAGTTTCTTAGTATTCATAAGGCATCATTTTTATCGCATGCTGATGTCATATATATGTATATGAAATGAATTATTTAGTGTTATTTTCATTTCATCTATTTACATTTCATTTCACGTAAATTTTAACGTCATTTTCATTTTCATTTACATTTCATCTATTTACATTTTATTTCACGTAAATTTGAACATCATTTTCATTTGTATTTACATTTACATTTCCTCATCTATCACAGACACTCTTTGTCTCTCTCTACAACAGAAAGCAAACATTATTTTTTGCTTTTTCTCTATCTTTATTCTCCTTCCTATATAGACATACGTTTATCTATATCTCTAAAAGAGGAGAGTTGGTTACTATTCACAGGCATCATCCTTATCTCATGCCGATGTCATATATATGTATATGAAATGAATTACTTAGTGTCATTTTCATTTTCATTTACATTTACATTTCATTTCACATAAATTTGAATATTATTGCTTCATTTCATGTAAATTTCAAC